ATTCTCTTAGACCTGTTAATGAACTGTGCAAGCAGTGAGGCTGAACAGAATAAAGCCAAGCTCCACCATGCAGTTACCAGAGCTCCCTGCTGTGGTGAGGATGTGACTTGAGCTCAACTCTGACTAACAAAGACAACTTTGGTTGTCCATGCAATATTGCACTTCTTGACAGGTCTAGCCTCTAAGACTGAAATTATGTGAAATAGCAACTGAAAACATTTCCCAGCCAGCTCAGAACACTTCATATATTTGTAGTTCTCCTCAAACAAGATACTTCCAAACATCCTTACTCACACACCAGCCCTGCAGCGCTCCCTCCCTGAAATCCCATCACCTTGCTCAGCTGTCAGGTTTAAGGAGAAGACTCTAATGTAACAGGCCTACCTACTCTATGGAATAGCTGACGTTTAATATTTTTTTCAAGTTTTTCAAATAAATAATTTTCGCTTCAAATAAAACAAACTGTGTATCAGTAGCTAACATATTTTGCAACATTCATGAGAGTATGAAAAAATCACAGCATATTTCTTACAGTCTGTACTACAGCTTTGGTTTTATTTTGAAGTGTCAGACTCTGTGTCACTGGAAGTAGACATTCCCTCTGTGGTACTTGTATGCTGCGATGCAACAGACGCTCAACTTGCCAGGATCTCTCAACTTGCCAGGGTCTCTCAGCGGAACCCCATTAAGACAAGAAGTAAGTTTATATTTTTAAGAAAGCTACAGCAAAACTTGATACAGGATGCCTTTAATTAATCAACTACATAACTGCTTAAAAGGAGTTTTACTCCAAACTGGTAGTTGGCTGGATTTGTTTTTATTTTGGCTGCATACAGTGACCCACTCTGCTCCTGCCAGACCATGACATGGCTTGTCAGCAGGACCTGTCACCTCTGGGCTTTCCAGGGCCCTCAGTGGTTAATGTCCAGGGCCGAAGCCCTACATCACCCCTCTGCTGGGTGCTCAGTGTCCTCTGACTGACCATGTAACACCCTGCTCTGCTACCCATCAACATGGCCCATCTTCCAGTCTGAAACCTTGACTGACTTGACTGATCTTTATTCATTTGAGGAAGATTATGATGACAAGTCAAATGCCACTATTTGAGGCAGGCAGGAAACACTGCTTGTACTGAAAGATTTCCATGGGGGTCTCCATCTGATTCGTGAAGTGACAGAGATCTTCCAAATTGTGACCTGCTCTGAAAAGCTGATCTCCAGACAGCTGCCCTCTCCTCCAGCTTTTGGTCCTGCCTCTTATTTACACATGACATATGCATTGCACACAGGTTTTTAAATGCGTGTGTTTCTTAAATCTCTGCAAAATCTCACAAACTTTCTTATATGTAAACTTGCCTTGTTGTCTATCAAATCACTATCACAACCCTCAGAAAGTTTTTCTTTGCAGATAATGTGATATGGCTGTTCTTTTTCTTTTACAGATGAGCTTGTTGAGAGACAGGCAGGCATATCATGCACCTTCTCCTAAATTCAGCAGTAGATGTAGGAGCAGGTGAATCCAGAAATCCTTCTAGGTCCCTCTTCCATGGTCTGAACTGTACAAAACATAGCATTTGGCAACACAGTCCTCAGAGTTTAGAATACACAACTTTTGTAGGAAAGTATCCCAACACAGTATTGACTTATTAAAAAAGTGCAAACCAATATTGGGTGTATACTGAAGAAGAATCAGATGTAAGTGAGAAAACTGGGAAACACAAATGAGCTAAAAAAGATTTCAGACTTATTCCTGCAAGTAGGACCACATATAAAAATCACATCAGAGTCTCACTGGCTTTGACAGCTCCCATACTGGACCAACAGGCACTTACAACCAAAGCAGCAACACATTTATCTCCTGTTATTACTTCCCTTCTGTGACTGATATATTCTTGCATTTAACCAAGATATTTTCATGAAGTTTTTCAGTGTTTCAGAATAATCGCCTAAGTCTCTGTTTTCCAAAGAAATCTGTGAGAACTTCTTAGGCTTCAAGAAACTTGTTACTATACATTTTAGGAAAAACCAGCTCAGAAGTTGCTCTTGGACAAGGATGTCAAATACTGGCATACAAAACCTGATTTGCTTAACTACTGCCTAATGTAAATGATCAATTTTGAGAAATATGTATTTTAAAAATAAGACAGTGCACATAGAGGCAAACATTAGCTCAAGTCTTGCATAACTGATACTGCAATACCCTCTTGTGGTCAAATAAAAATGTTTTGTCTAAACATCTGAACTTTTTCCTCCACAAAAAGCATCTCTAGACATCTTTTCCTTTGACTCAAAGGAAATAACTCATATATTTTTCACAGATGAATTTGTACTGCATATCATCATTTGTCTGGAAAAACCAAGACTAACCTCAGTCAAGTTCTTCCTCAGAATGATGGGCACTGACACTGCTTGTCAAATTAATTAATACAAAACAAACTTCTAAGCAAAGGTACCATTTTCAACAGTGACACTCATGACTTTTTTCAAGTTTCATGTCCCCAACCAGAAAGAAATCAAGATGCTGTAATCAATTTGCATAGATACATATGGCATGAAGCCACAATAAATATCAACCTATTGTACTATGGGACGAAAAGAAGTTCCCAGTAAATCAGTCGTACCAATTCGAATGAACAAATAAAATGCTAAACTGGCAGATGGCAAAAAGAGGGGAAACAGTTCAGTATCTGCAGCATGTCTGCTGAACTATTAATCTAGTAAATGGCCTAAATGGGATACTAGTATGTACAATAGGGAATCTAGAGTAACACCCAGAAATGCCATCCTTGCACTCATCTTGATGTACTTTGATGGTGCACAACTACTCCCCTAACGACTTCTGGTCCCAACAGAAAATGGGATAATTTTCAAAATATCAGCTATTAGTGATCTGCTTTTGTAGCAGCAGCTACATTTTAAAGTCATATTATTACAATATTTTTGAAAGTCCAATTTATTTAAACAGCCATGATCCCATCCCATCTATTATTTCCAGAGATATGACTCGATGTGTTCAATATCTGCATGTAGAATCATTACAGCTTACTTTTGTTTAAAGTCTAAAGAAGTCCTAAAGAGTTAGGAGTTCCTTCTTTTCTGAGGTTGTGGGGTCTTGTGTCAATAATCTGGTTTTAACCTATGGGTTCATGTTCAGTAATATGTTCTGAGAACACACATCTGCACCAAAACTACATTTGGAGGCTGTACTCAGCTCAACAACCATTTTTAGCTTATTGCTGATTAATTTGCAGAAATTGACTTGAAGGAAGGATCAGAATTAAAATAACACAGGAACTTTGTACAGAAGAATTAAAGAGCATTCCATGCACAGGAACAGACTTTCCATCGGGATCTTTTCCTGATCTGATCAGGAGATAAAACCCCATGCACACTGATTAACACATCAGGTCTTCCAAACATAACTCAGTTTCCTTTTAAAGCAATAACATGCTGCTAAAACACTATTCTCCAACCAGCTGCACATACTCCAACTTGGAGAGGACCCTGGAACAAATGCAGCAGGATAAGGAGATTCCACAAGAGGAACAGAGACAACTATTAGGCCAGGCTACCAAACACTTAATTTCTTCAGTTCATGATAATGATATGTGGGTACATGACTTTTTGCTTTTTGGCAGAAAGAGATGAAAAACACTATTGAGGTTTCAATTATCTCAGAAAAAAACAGCAAACAAACAAAAAGTCCACTAAAATTTAATTCAAACCCAAAGTAAACATTGGGGTTTGTGGTGGAGTTTACCTCTTCCTATGTTATATTATCGTAATCTTCAAATTGTGAATAATTTTTCCAAATATAGAAGTATTTCTGGCTCAAACATGTCTACATAAAGTGCTTGGACTGTTGTATAGTTGTAACTATTTTTAAAGAAATTATTTGCCAAATTCAGTATGTGTTTCCCAATACTGCAAGCAAATAAGTTTGTCAAAAAAATCCTAAAGAAACAGATCCAAAGTTCATTAGCATTTACCAGGAAGATGAAGCAAGAGACTAGAATTCATCTGGAGCCAAGCCACACTACTCAAAAACAAGTCAGCCAAGAATTTCAGAGGAAATTTATACTTAAAACACTCTATTTTCCCGCAAGGTCACAAATACTTGAGGAAGTGAGTTCATGCCACAAAAGCCCAACAGGCTGACTGTAAAGACAAACACTGACATTTTCGATACTGTTTTGAAAATTCTCACTGTGTATACTAATGACCCTTTAAAGTTACTTAAAAATTGCTTTTCATAGTTGCTTAATACTTTCAGCAGAAATATATAAGTGCTTAAAAAGGGCTTTTGACGATCTCTGACTGCTCTTTTTTTAATTTGAAAATAAGGAGCTTTCAGCACAGATTCGTTGAAACACTTTATTTTAAACAAATAGCTCTGCCCTAAATAGAGTTCAAGGCCCTAGCAGCTGTCCCACTGGGTCTCTGCTCCTTTTCTGATGTATATTCACAAGTTAGACTTGTTTCCAATAGAGACAGTAAACACGCCAGGGAAACCAGCAGCTTTCAGAAGCTTTTGCCTCTGCTACATAACCACAACAAAAGTCTTCCTGACATACTCAGCAGCAATCTCCTCTGCACCCTTTGCTACTATACCAGACTTTATTGTTCTGAGGATTTTGAATAGAGGCTGATCTCAGCTGCAGTAGCAGTAATCACCTTGTAAGCTGAGAGTTTGCTGGTTACAGCTGGAGATCCCACAGCTTCCAATAACAGTCGTTTCTTACAAAATTGCTGTTACCATGAAACCCCCTAAGTGTTCAAGCAATGATGTAACATAAAGCAGTAGGAAAGAAACATTAAATAAGAGGGAAGCAAACCAGTTCTGAACACTGCCTGTCAGTGCTGCTGCGCATATTCGTTTTCTGAAAGCACTCCAAAGCAGCAGCTGAAAGAAAACATTAGGAGAGAAGAGGTTTTGAAAGCACAGACAAGAGCAGGTTTAACTTTCTGAACAGTCACAGTATACCAAACAGTGCTGGGTATATGGTAAGTCTCAAAATGGACAAGTTGGGAAAGGGTTCTGGATTCAGGAGAAATACCTTGGTTAGGTCTTGGCAACCAGCAACCACACCCCTGGGGCAACCAGTCCCAGCTCCATCTGTGTATCAGCAGCACCCAACCAAACAGACCTGGCACCACACAACCGGCTACTCAGGTCTGTGCAGATGAGCAGTCAGCACTGCAGCCAGACCTGGTCCAACAGGATAAGATCTGGAGAGAGTCTGTTGAGGCCAAACAGAGAGGAAGGCAAATCTGGTAAATCAGTTTTTCCAGTTCATGCCTCTTCTACTCGTCTTGACAATGGTACAGATGCTCCCTGACAGCATTAGGGCTTGATCCAAAGCCAACACTATCAAATGAAATTTTCTTCTGCAGGGACTTTGGATCAGATCCTAATACCTTCCTTTCGAGGGCTACATTATCTCTGTTTTCTTTCACTGGACAAAATCTGTGATAATATCTCCTGGCATGCTGAGTTTAAGCTGAAAAGAGATGCAAAGAACTGCATGCTAAGTATCTTTTAGCTTTTTAATGATTCCCACAAAGAAGATATAAAAATGCCAAGCTTTATAATTTATTGCAGACATACTGGTATTATCACCTCTTCTCATACTCTTGGAAATGGTTGAAATGGAAGCTGAACAGAGTGTTCTGCCCAAATATGATTTGTATCCCCAATCTGTAAATCTACTGAACTTGCCCCATTGTTGTAGCCTTTCAGCAGACTGAGCTGCACACATACAACCTAAACTTTGACTGTACATACACCAGTGACACAAAGGAACCCGAAATTAAGATCCTCTCTGTCTCTGCCACATATCTTGAGTAAGTGTTTAAGTTCATACTTCATTGCACAGCATGAGTATGCCTATTAGAAGAATATCCTTGGTAAAATTAAAATCAGCTCCATTTCCAACTGTGTCCTACCCAAGCTAAAGGGATGAAAAAGAACGTCATTCTCAGTATTTTTTAAAATGGGAAAAGAAACCATCTGAAAACTTTTGCCCTCCTCAGCCTTCTGGAGGAGATACAGATCACAGCTCTGATTTCCCCAGACACATTTGCACTCTTGTCTGGCTCCATTTACCTGAGGGACAGGCTGATGCCAGGGCTCTGACTCATGCAAAGCCAGGGCCATGGTGCCAATGTTATTCTCTCCCAGCGGTGCTGGTAAACTCAGACTCCTGCTCAACAAGCCCAGCATGTTCCATACCCATTCCTTAGCTAAGGCAGCAGGAGGGACTCTGTGCCTGTCCCTGGGGTTCATGGTCATGGATATTGGTACAAACTCACTTTCCTGAATAAGTAAGGTAACACATCATACAGCTGATGCATGTTCTGCTTTCCAATTTTAGCTATGAAGACAGAAACTCTTGCAAAAGAGTAGGACAGACTTGTGAAGAACAAGGTGCCTAAAGCTGGATTCATCAAACTACAGAGCCTACAGCCTGCAGACAGCTGTCCTTCAGTTCCACGTTCCCATCCCAAAACCAATGATGGTGGAAGGCTGCAACACATTAAGTGGTCTGACTTGAAGTAGATATAGGTAAATGTCTAAGACTATGGTATTTCTCAATAATTAGCACCATTCAGTAACACCCAAATCTGATACATTCAAATCATGGCTGCATAGCATAATAAAAAATTCTAGGACCACAATGCTGTGGTGGTATACCAAGACATATAGTGATAAAGAGAACAAGCATAAATTTGTTCTTACTTGCACTTGGGGCATATCTGCACTGGATGAGGGAGTGCAGCACAGAAATCCAATGCTCCACGTGGCTGCGCTGTACAGATGAGTTCAACTAGTAAGGATGTACATCTTCAGCACTAGCTCATTGAGCTTAGGTGCAGCACAGGTAACCAGCTCAGAGACAACACAGGTGTCCCTTGAGCCCTGCTGCAAATAGCTGTACAGAACTGTTTCCACTCTTGACCTCAAAGTACTCTTACAATAGCAGGTGAACAGTCGCTTTCTCCATTTCAGGCCAGGGAAAACAAAGGACAGAAAATCAAAGGACTTGCCCTGTAGTCCCACACCAGGTATAGAACTGAAGAGCAAAACTCAGGACCTCTGACTCCATTTGCTCCTAGCACAGCTGCCTATCCACACAAAATACTCCCATGGGTGTTTGCCTGAAGAAATATGGTTCTGGGAATTCCTACCAGGGACTTCTGGCAGCAAAGTATCGGTCATTTAAAAAATAAGAAGCTGTGTCTTACTGAAGGCATTGGACAAACATTTTCCAGAGTGATTCAGCGTGCGGGTAATTTATTTGCATTTGCACAAGGAATGGACATGGTATCCTTATTTTTCCTTAGCAAAAAAACCACCCACTCCTCATGTAGTATGGGAATAAAGAAAACCCTGGGCTCCACGACAGAAAAGACATGAAGTTTGCAGGTGTAAGAGCTGGGCTGTAAGTATCACACTGAGTAGTTAAAAAGGCATTCAATTATGACCAATATTGACTATTTTATTTAAAGACAGAAAATTTGACTCTGCATTTTTCACTTCTATTCCAAGGTACCAGTACTAGAGTTTCCTTAAGTACTATGGCCAAACAGTGAGTTTGGAAATGGACACTCAGCTGTATCCATGCTCTTTTTAGTTTTCATCAGTTTGGGCCTAGGCTAATATTTCAAATTGAAGCTTACTTAGGCATACTTGGAAAATGCTTTATGACTAAACTCTCAAGGAAAAATAAAAGGAACTGAAGTGCCTTTCATCTCCCACCTATGTGTGTTCAATCTGTTTCAATGTTAACAACTCGGCAGAAAGACAAGTGCTAGAAAAACCAACTCCCTAGGAGAAAATTTGTAGGATAATGTCGTCACTAAAAATGAAAGAAAAAACCTCCCACATCACAACCATTCTAGAGCAGGCTAACTTCTGTCCCAGATGACATTTTATTCAACATAATTTTAAAATTACTCATTTCCCTCTGTTATCCCATCATAAGACAGCAGAAAAAACCAAACAATTGCTTTATGTTATTTCTACAAGTTTCATGTAAACTCAATATGATATTTTTAAGTAAATTTATTGTCATTTCAAAAGCAAAAGTGACTGGTATTATAAGTAAAATGCTGATATTATAAATAATTTCAGTAACTTGTATTTTTGTAAGAAGCAATGGATGTAATTTTGAAAACTTATTAATGGCCTTTGTTTTATCCAGGGTAAGAGAAAGGAGCTGAAGCCAAAGCCAAACTATATGCCTGTGTTCTCAAGTAAAGTTCCCAACTTGACCAATCAAACTATCCTCAGTCAAATGAACACTGAGCTTGGCAGAGCTCTGGTATATGGATTATTTCTTCAGCAGTGGAGCATGAAAGAGGAAACTTGAGGGTGAGCTCCAACTTTCCTAGTGTTTCAGTAACAATAAAACAGTAACAAAGCAAGTTGAATGGTTCTAGCCAAGTTGAACGGTTCTAGACACAGCATGAAAAAATTCCTCCATCTTTCCTACAGAGATCAACACTACTGTCTGGCATGGATTTTCTTTCAAGGGCAAAAATGGATGTTGTCCAGCAATGCTGTAGGAGATGAATTTTCATTTTTGTTTCTTTAGATTTGCTGCTCTCAAATTCCCTTCTCTTACTCTTTTCTCTGGTTTAGCTGATAAAAACTCATTGACAAGGAAGCAGGCTTTCACATTTTGCTCTGAAGGCGTGTTGGCTCAGCAACCTGTCTTACACCCTCAGGACTGACAACCTTGAATTTAACAGGTTCACAGTCCCTAAAATCTGTGGTTGCCCAGGGAAACCATCATCAAGATAAATTGACACAATACCAAAAGCCCGTTCATTAGTGCCTCTTTATTACATAGGTTCAAACTTTATGACCTATTATTCTGTAAGGAAATATCAGCAAACAGCAGAGCATGGAGAGTGTACACACAACACCTGCCTTTTGAACTGTGCATAGCTTCCACAGGATCATGCTCAGTTCTAGGTGGAGCTCAACACAGAATTCATTAGCATGGCCTCGACACAAAAGGCTGCAATCTCTCAGCAGACCCAGGTGGAGATGGGGGCACTTATGTCTTGCAATTAAAGCTATTTGGTTTTGTGATTAGACTTCAGTGGCAGAAGGCATCTCAAGCACATGAGGTGACTGATCACTGTGAGCACTGTCATCACAGATCCAAGTGGTTTCTGGAAAAAAAAGGCACTGTAGAAAGAAGAGTCAAATCCCACTCACTGAAGTCACGATACCAAGTGGTTCTTCTCCTAATTTCCTCAACACAGTGAGAACTGGAAGATTAAGGCTTTTGAGATGACAGGAAAGTTATGTAAAGAAGGAACACCACATCATGCAATCAGCCCAAGTGAGGAGGACTGATTTCACTCTGTGCAGACATGAATTGTATTGGACAATTGAGTTCAGTTGGGACTGAAAAAGTAGGTTCCAAATGGGAACCTACTTTTTAAAACAGACATCTTCCAAATGGGAACCTACTTTTTAAAACAGACACCTTCTTGTTCAGCTAAAATGCTTTCTGCTCTCTCCTGTGAGAAGAAAACTGCACCAGGAACTCACTTGTTTTCAGACATCTGAAAGTGTGAGAGCAGAGAGCAGATCAAGACTTTCCTTGTCCCTGTGCTGTCCAGGAGCTTCTTGAAAAACTGCCCAGTCCACTCAGAGGTTACATATTTATTGGACATTGCATAATACGGAGAGTCATTAAGACTTGCATGCCTTACTTTGAGATGTACTGAGCAGCTTCAAGTCTTTCTGTGGGTCACAAACTCTACACTGAGTGGTGGATGTCCAGTATCTGTCAGGCTCAAGCTCCTACTCATGTAAGAATGTCTCATTTATAAAGCACAGGGATTTTGTTTTTCAGCATGAAAGCATACGGAGCTCCATGTTTCTTAACCTCCAGATGGCACTCACTCCACATCAAGTAATCCACCAAAAAAGGACACTAAGGCAGTATGACACAATTCCTTTTACATTTCAAGGGACATGAAATAATTCCAGATTCTTGACTCTGTTTACTGTGTATGAATCCAGAGAATCCTTCTCCCAGCAAGTTCCTGCAAACTGGAGGGTAAGAGGATGGTCTCAGCAGGGCACGATTTAATCCTCCCACTTCATTTAGAACTGGCATTGTTTCAACTGAAGCACTTCTCCTAGTTTTGCACAAGACCTTCCACATATTACCCTAAAGATGTGGGCCACTGAGCAGAGTTTAAAGAAAAAGTGATGGAAACTGGAGTACAGGAAGATATGTTATATAAGGAAAGATTAAAATGACTGTTAAAAGTTTAACCTGAAGAAGAAAAAGCTGTCTTGGGAAGAGGGTAGCAGTCTTTTGATATATGTATAATTCTGGAATAAGAAAATGAATAATTTTGCACTTTATGTGAGTGGCAGGCACCAGGAAAAATAACAAGCTTAAATTATAGCAAGGAAGAATCATGTTAACTTTTCAGAAAGCTAGTAGCAAGGATAATACAGCACTGGAATGGATTCCCTGAGGAATCTTCACCTTTGAAGGTTAAACTCACACACCCATCAAGAAGGATGCATTTAATAGGGTTTATCTTTTACTGTATAAATTGAATCACTATCTAAAGAGCTTTTCGCCAATTCTCTGTCTATACCAGAGCTGCTGGGATCAGAATACACTTTGCAAACATGATTTTTCCAACACATTCACAAAGAATTTCTTTAAAAATCTATTTTAATTACACCAGGTTTAAATAGATTTCACATCTAAAATACAGATTAATCACATAATTTTTTTGATTGAAATATATTTCTAATCCTTCTAACGGCTCATAGAAGATGCTTTTCACAAAGTCTAGTTGTGTCCCTTTTAATCACCTACATCTGAGAGGCTTGTTTAGTGCCCTCCTGACAAACACAAAAGGACACTTCTCAAGTTCCCTGTTGAAATGAACAGCAACTCTTAAGCACTCTGACATCTTCATGATTAAGGGGAAAATGTCTAGAGAACCAAAGTTGCCCACATGGAATAGATGAGATAACCTGTGTGATATGGGAAAATTGTGTTGAACTGGACACCTTATTTTGTTCAATTATTACACTTTCCCTGGAAATGTAAATTATTTTATGCTACTGCAATTAGCTCTCCTCTGATACCCAGCATTACATTTCCAAAGTTAGTTTGGGTCTCTCTACCATGTGCAGCAACCTTCAGAAAAGACCTTTTGGGAATATCCATGGTCCTTATCAAAACTGACTCAGCACCTGCAAGCAAAAAGCAGCAAACAGATATTCTCTAGACACCAACTTCATCCCAAGTTTAATGGTAATTTTTCTTTTATGATAATTAACTTTGCCAACTAATCCTTATTTACATAAGCAGAAAGTCTTAGAAAGATTGGATGAGATTATAACAGTAGTGAAATCTGTAAATAACCAGTGGAAATTCCATTTATTAAAGAGATTGTGTAGATATTAAACTGTGTGGTAAGTTACTTGTAAAGCATTCTTATGATGTATCACTTGTGCTTCAGTTTTATAAGCATTTTTCCCTTTTGTTGCCAGATCTCAAACAAGGGATTATGCATGTTTAGACAATTCATTTTCTGTACTTCTTTCAGTTAAACAGCACAAGTGTGTAGCTATATGATTTAATTCTTTCCTTAGATATACCCTGCTTTCAATGTTATATTTTTGAGGATTGTTAACATTAATTCTACCTTGGTACAGCAGCGTTTCCACTGCCTCCAGATTTTGTGTGTTCTCTTTTTGAGTTCCACTTAAAATAAAGAAGTGTGAAACATATATTTTAACAAAACATAACATAGGTAAATTTATATATATCTGTATTTTTCATGCTTTTAGGACAGTCTTTGTATATAGCTCCCAGGTGGCATCTTAACTATACAGTTTTGCTTTATAAGATCAGCGATAACTGTAAATCCAGTTGTGTTTCTTAGAAACTGTATTTAAAACTGTTTCTTGATCTTTAGATTGCTCTAAGGTACAACATAACCAAATGGATTTTCCTACGAAGAAGGTCTCCTCATGTTGTGAAAATTACTGCTAAAACAGTAAGATTCCTTGAACTGGGAAGGATGAGGATGATTATGTATGAACATTAGATGGATAATACTGCCAGTCCAGGCATCATATGTTCGTATGTATCATGTACATACACATTCACATTCTTTGCTTTTTATAAAGAACACACTATAGAACACAATTTCTAACCTGGAGTTCATCTTAAAGCAGACAACAGTTTTCTGAAGTGGGGTATTTTTTGGTTTGTTGGTTTTAGAAATCAACAATTAGGGCCTTAAGCTGCATTTCCTAAATCCTGCCCAGGGAGAAACCAGTAAATGTTTCCTAATGCAGGATGTCTCTCTTAAAAACTCTACTTGCTACTCTGAATTCATGTCAGTTATGTTTTCCCTCTTCAGAAAACTTCATATTTGCTTTGATAAATTCCTTGAAACACAGATGGGTCCCCAAGTAACTCAGGAGTTTTGCCAAAGGTTGAAGAGGTGCTCACACAGCCACGCCCACAGCCCTCTTCTGTCACAGGGCATAGATGCCACAGACTGACGTCAGCTTGAGACCTTCTCTAAGCCTCTCTGAGATGCTGTACGTATCTATGTATCCACAAAAGCGCCAGCACTTAGAAATGGAATTTCCAAGTATCTGGGGTTACACTCTCACCTCAGCACAAGACCTTTATGCCAGGCCAATGCAGCAAAACCATAGCAAATTTCTCTTAACTGCCTATTGACCCAGGGGATGGGCAGAGGAAAGTCTCAGTTGGCATATACTGATTGAAAAATTGCATTAAGAAGTAATCTGCAAATATACTGGTACAATAACTATAAAAATAATGAGATTTGTTTTCACTCCATGACCTGATCGCTTCAAACTGTGTGTTCACTTTGCCCATTTACTAATGACCAATTATCATCACTGGATATATTTTATATGATCTGTGAATTAACAAATTTATTCATACAGTAACGAGACCCCTGGTGGCCTAGTGGTTAGCGTGCAGGACTTTCACTGCTGCGACCACGGGTTCAAATCCCGGTCTCCTGGCCTGATGGAGGTCGTTAGCCCTGTGTGGCCATCCATCTATGAGAAGGACACTCTAAACAAACCTACGTCCTGAGGACCTCACTGCCATTGTCCAAGCTTGCTTGGCCCCGGCAGATGAACCTTAGGATTAAAGGGTGGGCTCAGTTCAGCGCAGGCTGTGTCTCACCTAAAAAATCCATTGCGCAGGCTGGAAAGGTAAAAGACCTTTCCCCAAATCTTCGTTCGCGAAGATGGGCCATTATCATACAGTAACTCTTATGTCAGCTGCAGGTATTGCTGAGAAAGGGACACAAAACAAACCAACTATGTACTGTAGAACCATCTG